TCTCTCCTTCTGCCCCCCCCCCCCGCTAGTGCTCTCTCTCTCTAAAATAAATCAATAGATAAAATCTTTAAAAAACACACACACACCTATACATGTATCTATTCATTTGGCCAAAAAGAAATCTGGAAAAGGTAAAAGAAACTAATGAATGTGGTTATCATCACAAGGTACGTAAAATGGGATTAAAAGGACAGGAAAATGGAACTGGTGTAAATAGGTGGAGGGAGGGAGAGTCACCCGTCTAGGACTATACATTTTTGTCACACACACAACATTTTTACTTTTAGAACTGTTACATTTCACATATTCAGTAAATAAATAGACAAGATAGTAGAGAGAAATGTTAAAATGTAATACAAACAAAAACAAAGGAGTCTGTTTCAAATGAGTAACACAACACCCAGAAGGGAAAAAAATAACTCAAATAGTACCTTCATACAGTATTAGGACTATACAAACTCCAGCTAAAGATAAAAAGAACTATAAACAATTACTGAATTCTCATTAGTAGGGTTTTTTCCTCCCCATGGTGGTAAAGATATACTACTTAATGCATACCCTAGGACTGAACAAATAAGTAAATATACTATAGGTAAAATGGCACACAGATTCCTCACTGTCAGAGAAGGGAGTTATAAATATAGAAAACGGAAAGGCAAGAATGAACTCTGTAACTGGAATTAGAAGTATCAGTATAAGGCCAAGGTTTTACAGTATATACAGAAAAAACAGAAATGCATGTATGTGTCAAAGTGTGTGTTTATTCTACTTTATTTTTCTAGTAACGTCTGCTGAAAGGTCATAAAAAGAATGAAATCCTAGTAGTAATGAGCATAACACACACTCAGGTCTTGGTTTCTAAACGCCATTCTCCACTGAAAGCTATCAGGGCTCCTAGGAGAAATGGCTGATTCCAGGGTTTAGAAAGTACAAGATGAACCCAGAACATCTTGTACCAGAGGATAAGGAAGTGCTCCAAAAGTGGTGATAATGTGCCATAAGGACCAGAAGCCAGGCCGAAGGGGCTGCTATGGTAAAATCTGGAACAAACAGAACATCAAGATAAACAGTAACTGTAATAAGTAACACAATAAGAATCCATGAATCTATACAGATAAAAAAAAAGTGAATAAAGATGGAGAAGGGAGTTCTTCTTTTTTTAAAGGTTTTATTTATTTGACAGAGAGAAACACAGCGCAAGAGGGAACACAAGCAGGGGTAGTGGGAGAGGGAGAAGCAGGCTTCCCGCAGAGCAGGGAGCCTGATATGGGGGCTCGATCCCAGGACCCTGGGACCATGACCTGAGCTGAAGGCAGATTCTTAATGACTGAGCCACCCAGGCACCCCGGGAGTTTTTCTTATATTAAAAAAGCCAAGGGGCGCCTGGGTGGCTCAGTCCTTGAGCGTCTGCCTGCCTTCGGCTCAGGTCATGATCTCAGGGTCCTGGGATCGAGCCCCACATCCCTCGGCAGGAAGCCTGCTTCTCCCTCTCCCACTTCCCCTGCTTGGGTTCCCTCTCTCGCTGTGCCTCTCTCTGTCAAATAAAATCATAAAATCTTTAAAAAAAAAAAAAAAAGCCAACAATTAAATGTAGAAGAACTGATGGAATTTTAAAAATCACCATGTCCAATCAAAAGAAGAGTGTTTAATTGTTTCAGGTAAAAATCCAGTGGGTGAAAAGTTTCGGAGATCAGGATTTTACACAGTCTGAAAGTATCTCCCTACTAGATATTTAATAATTATAGAAACAAGAAGAGTAACTTCACAGTACAGAAACCTGAAAGTCACCACCTTAACCAAGTGATCAAAGTTACCATTACTAGTAACATGATGTCCAATGTGCCAAATAGAATGTAAAGAACAGAACAGAATATCACCTCTGGGCTATCTTGCCAAAAATGTATAACCTGAACCTAATTATGAGGAAACATCAGGCAAACCCAAATTGAGGGAAATTCTACTAAATACATGGCCTAACCTGAGGGAAATTCTACTAAATACATGGCCTAACCTCTTAAAGAAAAAAAAAAAAGTCAATGGGGCGCCTGGGTGGCTTAGTCAGTTAAATGTGTCTTCAGCTCAGGTCGTGGTCCCACATGGGCCCCCTGCTCAGTGGGGAGTCTGCTTCTCTTTCCCTCTGCCCCTCCCTGCTTGTGCCCTCTAACAAATACAATCTTAAAAAAAAAAAAAAGTCAAGGTTATGAAAGACAAAGCCTGAGGATATATATTCCACGATAAAGAAGACAAGACATTTAAATGAAATGGGGAATGATGGATTGATCTTGGCCGACAAAAACCAGTTTTTTCCTTTTCCTGAAAAGGACACTAGTGGAAGAACTGGCTCAATTTGAATAAGATAACAGTATTATATGAGTGTTAATTTCCTGACTTTGATAGCTGTAATGGTAAGAGAAGAGCCTTGTTTTTAGGAAATAAACGGTTTGTATTTTAAGGCAGACATTCTTAACTGGGGTTCTAGGAAAGAATGAAGCCCTACAGAAAATGACTGAAGTAACTATTTTTTCAATTCTTCCAAGAATGGTATGTAGCTAGGAGCACCATACATGCATAGGAGAGAAGTTAATTCATTACATACCTTAGGACTTTAGGGCTTAATTCTCTTAAGACTTCAGGGCTTAGCATGTCATAAGACTTTTAGGGCTTAATGTTCTCATAGTTTGAGAAGAATCATTATGTCTATAACCTATTCTCAAAAGGTTCAGAGAAAAATGTGTATATGTATGTGTATACAGAGACACACAGAATCATAAAGCGAATATAGTAAAATGTTAACATTTAGGATCACAGGCAAAGGGTATATGAATATTCTTTGTACTATTTTGTACTTTTTCATAAGTCTAAAATTATTTCAAAATTAAAAGATATTTTAGTTTGTTTTTTAAAGAACATGGTAGCTAAGAGTCGAAATATTACACTAGTTAAAACTGAATGTTCAAGTTCTAGAATCAGATTTTGGTTCAAATTCCCACTGCTCCTCTGTAGGTGCAAGAACTTGGGTATATTACTTAACTTCCTTCAGCTTCAATTTCTCCTTTGATAAAACAGCTAAGATACTCTTACATGCCTCATGGAGCTGCCACGAGAACTTAGATGTCGCCACCAAAGGACTCAGCGCTCAGTGCCTGTGTCTCAACAGAAAATAAATGACAGTTTCTATTATTTTCTGAATTCCATCTTCACACACACAAAAACCCTATTTATCAAGTCCATCCTCTGCACCTGCCTCTTCTGTAAAGCCTTGTTCAAAATCCATATAAAATAATTAACTAAATCATAAACAATAAAATAACTCAGCCAGTTAATGATGAATATGGAGATTATGCAAAAACTAGAAACAGATTTATGGAGAAATATTAGGATGAAAAGGAAAAATTCAGAATCACAGCTAAGTAAAGATATGCAGGCATATAGACAAATAGCTAATATAAAATGGTAGGTTTATGGAAGCTCTGTCTTTTAAAATGTGTATTACTGCTCAGGTCAAAAGGAGAGCAGAGTGGAAATAAAGGATTCTGAGCTTGGTCATAGCCTGGCAAATGAAATCAGAGTAGTCCCTAAAGTTATCAGCCCAGGGTATCATATTTGCCCTAAGGAGCCGATAAACTCTGGGGCACCAAGAAGAAAAAAAAAATTAAAAAAATAAGGAAATCATTTTCTTATTCTTATCTAAGTCTTTTAGATGTCAGCACCTAGAAAATAAAATACAGTCTGGTTGTCAAACTTAAAGTAGACCATGACACTTCCCTAGTTCAGGATATTACAACTGTTTCCTATCAGACTCAGAATAAAACCCAGTTCTCACTGTTCCTTATAATGTGGCACCTCCACCTATCTTTAGCCTCACGAGCCACCTCAGAACTTTCGCACTTGTTCCTTCTGCCTGGAATGTTCTTCCTGCCAGGTAGCTTGCTTCTTTATTTGATCCAAGTCTCTGCCTGAAAATTAATTCCTCAAAAGGAGGCACACCCTGACTACTTTATATAAAACAGCTCTGTTCTCTTATCCTGTTTTATTTCTCTTCATAGCACTTCTCATCCTCCAACTTTGCGGTATATGTTTTATATCCGTTAATTTGTTTCTCTCTTCTACTAGAATATAACTTCCATTAGGGTTAGGACTTAGTCTTGTTCACTGCAATATCCCTAGACTCTGGCACATGTTTGTTGCATGAATGGAAAATATGAATAAATACCACAGCAAAATAAAGGACCACCATAATCCTTAGAACCCCCATAGCAATGCAGCAAGCTAGGCGAGTAGCCCTGGCTGGTCCACCGGGGACCCTTCTCCAAGAGGTTTCTCTTACCTCACCCTAGGAAGAGACTGGTTCTCTCTTCCATGGCTAGGGTCAGAGTGTGCAGAATAAGCAGGCATGCAATAAAAGTCCAAGCAGAGAAGCTGAGTATAGAACTTCAAAGCTCAAGGTTATTCTTACAGTTAAAGGGTGTATGGGACAAGCAAAGTCGATAAAGCATTAATCTAATGCTTACTGTATCAAGCCCGAGGCGAGGGATTACCTCATTTATCTTTCACTGATTGCATGGACTGCCTCATTTAATCTTCCCAAGAACTGTGTAAGATAGGTATTAATACCAATATTTGCACTAACAGAAAACCTGATGCTTAGGGCAATTAAATATTACTACCCAAGAACTCACAGCTAGTAAGTAGCGCAGCCACGATTTAAATTTAAATTTTCTAACTACAGAGCCTAAGCAACGGGCATACTGCCTTTTTTGGGGCTGCAAATCAAACAAGAAGCAATTATTATAAGTCTATTGTGAATATGTATGTTGGAAAGGAGTAGAAAATAGAATAGGATCCAGTTTTATCACTCTGCTATCTCAAGAGCTAAGAAAGTATCAATCCCTTTTTCATATTATCTTCCCCAACCCTTCTTGTCCTCCCCAAGTACTCCCCCACCCCATCTGCTCCAAAATCCATTTATATAGAAACATACAGCCTGGTATGCTACTTACCATAACAATGAAGACTCAAGACTGTCTTCCTTTTGGCTTCAAAAGGTCTCTAGTCCATAAGTGTGCGGAGCACTCAATTCTTCCCTCTCCTAGAGAAAAATCAATAATGTTGAAATTTATAATTTTTTCTGAAATTTTTATTTTTTCTGGAGCTGGACATCTAAATACCGGTCCCATTTACTCCCCAGTCTGGTCGTCATCCTTCAACCACATCTTACCTCTTCCCACATTTGCTTACTTTCTGTTTCTCCTGCAAGAAGTAGCTGCCACTGGGAGCCATCACTTCCTTCCCAACCAGCACTAGCCGAAACATTAAGAGTCCTTCTGGATAATGACTTTTACTTCTTAAGAAAGCCCTGAGTCCTGTTTTACTTTTTCTTTGATTGTTTTTTGTTTGCATTATCTCAACTTCTAAGGTCAAGGACCAACATTCTTCTACCATGTACACCCCAAGACGTAGTTGGTAAGTGCATATAGTACAATGTTACATATAACGCAGTTTTCTAAACCATAGTTCTGAAATGGTTAAATAATCTTCTGTGTATAGATTTGAGTACAACGTAACTAATCTCTGTCTTAAAGATGGTGGTGGTTGCGGTGGGGGGGGGGGACTTCATTCAACGTCCTTGGGTTTTTCCCCAATATGAGAGATACAGATCGCTTAGGAAAGTGCCTGGTAACGTTTACTATTATCCTCTCCAAGAACGGCCGTACTGAGCTGCTCTTCTTTCAACTTTTCATTGACTGCCTCTCGGTCCGCCGTCGAGGGGGGGTCCCGGACCCCGCTCGGCGGCGAGCGGCAGGGGCAGCCGTGACCCTGCGCAGGCCGGGGGACCGGGGAGGGCATGTGGGGGGGTTGGCTCTAGTCCCGCCGCACCCCCTCCCCCTCCCCCGGGCCCCGCGGCCGCGCCCCTCCCAGGCCCCGCGGGCCCGCTTACCCGGGCGGCCGCCGGCACCGCCCCTCCGCCTGCGACCGCACTTCCGGTTAGTCTCCGGACACTGGGGTTTGGGTTTCCCGGCGGCCGCAGGCTTCGCGGCGGTGGACCTCAGGGCCCACCTTCGGGAAAAGAAGGAAAGCAAACCTGGGGGGCCGACGAGAGCCAGGAGCAGCTCCCTTTGCGCGACTCGGGAGGGGAGTTGGGGCCAGGCCACCCAGTGAGCGCTTGAAGGGCCGACAAGGCCGGCTACGCGAGTCCTTTCAGCCAGGCTGGGAAGCGGCCGGCGCAGCCCCGCCCCCGCGAGTCACATGACCACCCCTGCTTCGGAGGCTGGGGCGCCCCGCCCCCGGCCTCTGGGCCAATGGGGGCTGAACCCCTGTGACGGGGCGGGGCCCCGGGGCGCCTGCGCTCCGGGCCCTCGGCGGCTCGGGGCGGAGCGGGCCGGGAACTCGGGAGTGTGCGGGGTGCTGCGGGGTCCTGGGCTGAGGACAGGACTGCACTGCCGCTTTGTCTAAGAAGAAACAACGTTGTGTATATTACAGTGTCCGACTGCTGTGCCCCTTCCTCAAAGCAATTAAAAGAGAACTCGAGCCAGAAGTAGCGTAACGGAGACGAATGCCGACCCTGAGAAAAACACCCCGAAGGATCCGGGAGAAATGGAGGCTGCCGAAGCGCAGCGGAAGCGCCCAGTCACCGAAGATGTGGCCAGCGAGACGGCCGAGATGCTTTCCTCGGGGTGGTGGTGGCCTCGTGTAGGTGGAGGCAGCTGCCGCGGAGGCTGGGACTGCGCATACCAGGACGGTCCCCCGTCCCGTTTCTGGGCTGGAATCGACGAAGAGTAATCCCTTCTGCTTGGGTTGGAGCAGAAATGAGATTCCCTTCAGAGTGAAATATCTATGGAGATCTGTTTTCCCTGCTCAACTGTTCTGTGAACAAAAGTTTTTTTAAAAAAGCCCTCAGACAGCAAAGAGGAAGGCTGAACACTAAGGAAATAAAGGACTAAAGCCTGGGTAACGCAGCCAGGGACTTCGTTTGTGAGCAAAGTACTGGGGATGGGGAGCAGTGAGAACATCATCAGGGTTCTACCAGTCACGCCTTCAGGGGTACCCAGTCATGTTTCTAATTCTGGAATTCCCCAGGGGGAGCTGCAGTTTATTTTAGATTCATATATTTTTTTAGATTTTTACTTATTTATTTATTTAGCGCGCAAGTAGGGGAAGGGGCAGAGGGAGACAATCTCAGGCAGACTCGCCCTGAGAGGGAGGCCAACGCGGGGGGGTGGGGGTGTTGTTCTAAGGACCCTGAGAGGAAATCAGTAGTGGTTCACTTAACGAACTGAGCCACCCATGCGCCCCGTAGTTTAGTATTTGTTTTTAATTGAGCGAAGTAAGGCCAAAATATCCAAAGTCGTCTTAATATTTGAAATAATTTTTAAAAAGATTTTATTTATTTATTAGAGAGACACAGCGAGGGAGGGAACACAAGCAGGGGGAGTGGAAGAGGGAGAAGCAGGCTTCCCGCAGAGCGGGGAGCCCAATGTGGGGCTCGATCCCAGGGCCCTGTGATCGTGACCTGAGCTGCAGGCAGACGCTTAACGACTGAGCCACCCAGGCTACGCTGAAATAATAATTTTAAGTTCTATGTATGGTATGTTCCAGACCCTGTTCTAATCACTTCACATGTGTTATCTCATTACCTTGTAAGAAAAATTCTGATATGTATTAAGTTTATCTAAGGAGGGAACTGGTGTACGTAGAGATTAAATGACTTGCCCAAGATCACACATTTAGTAACTGGTGAAGCTGAAAGATGAAGAGTCCGATACCAGAGCCTGTGCTTGCAACCACTATATTTGTATGACTACCTCAATAGTGGTGAGTGTATTGTGGGAAAGTACTGGAATAAAAATAAAGCAAATGGTTCTGATCCCTGCACTGCATGTAAGAAGGTCTCAGTACTTGGTGAACTCTTTAGCCTTTTCTTTCAAGAGACATTGGCCCAATCAAAGTGCTCATTTTATTTATTGTTTCATTCACTCAACAAATGTTTCTGGAGCACTACCAATTCATGTGACTCTATATTGGATTTTAGGAATATAAAGACAGGTGAGATTCAGTCCCATTCCTCTAATGGTTCACACTCTAGCGTGGAGACAGCAGGTGCTGTAAGTGGTGTCATAGAGATATAAGTTACATGTTACAGTCTGGGAGCATAGAGAAGGAGTACTTAATTAAGAATTCGAGAAAAGTTTAGAAAAGACTCTGGAGGGGATGAAATATGAGGTGAAGCTTAATAGATACAATGAGTTGAAGATGGACTGGAATGGAAGATGGGAGAAAAGAGATACTTGAATGTGAGTTCGATTAATGGACCTTGTAGGAAATGGAAGCCATTCATAAAGATGGCTGAATTATCTCCAAACTTAAAATTCTTTAGAGAGTTTTTATTTTTATTATGTATTTATTTAGAAAGATGACTTTATTTTAAAATATAGGGAGAAGCAAAACAAGGAACCTGGAGACAAGGGTAAAGAATAAGAAGGAGAATCCAGCAAATTATGAGGAAAATGAACAAACAAAAATGGGTCAGGGCAAGGGAGGAGAGTTTCAAATAAAAGGTTGATGACAGCAGTGTCATACAGAGATCAGTTGGGAATTTCTATGTTCTAGGCATGTTATAGGCTCCTTATATGTACTAACTCAGTCATTCAAGGATGCTTTGCTGTTTCATCCTCACAACAACCCCATCTTATGGATGAGGGAAATGAAGTACGAGGAAGTTAAGTGTTTTGTGCAAGATCATGCTGCTGGTAAGTGGCAGAATGGGGATTTAAACCCTGGCAGTCTGACTTTCTGAGTCTGTGCTTGTTACCACTATCTTATACTCCCTCTCTGAAGAAGATCTAGGGAGTTTAGGAATCACCAAGAGTTTTTCATCTTTAATAGGGGCAGTTTCTGTGGAGTGTGGTGGAAAGGGAAGAATGGGACACAAGCTGTATCATTTCTTTCCAGAATTTTGGCTATAAAAATGAAAAATGAAAGGCCATCTCTACTGTAGAACATAGGACTTCTAGAGGGAGTAGGGCCTACAGCTTCAGGGTGAAAGAGATTTGAATATGTCGCTAAAGGAAAAATGCCAATAGAGAGGATGAAGATTCAGGAAAGGGATATCAGAGGCCACTCAGTAGATAGGGGAGGCTGGGTTCTAAAATACTAAGGAGAATTGATCCTTTAACCAGAGAAGGAATCTGAGATCAGAGGAAGGAAAATACATCTGCATTGCTTGGGTCTTGTTCAGAGACCGTTTTAGGATTTGGAGGGAGGAATTCCAACTAGCCACAGGTACCATATTCATCAGGCGTCCCAATTTGTTCTATTAGTCACTCACCAAAACTCTGATTCAGCGGAGTTACAGTCTCACAAAAGTATTTTCTGTTTGATCTATGCCAAGGATAACAACCAACAGCATATTTTTAAAAATCACCGAGTTGATGGTCCAACAACTCCAAGAGGATAGCATCTTCATCTCTTGATTTCCTAGAGCAGCTCAGATTTTCTCACTGAAATACACCCAAGCAAGAGGAAAACGAACAAGTGCCTCAAAGTGACTTGTCACAGGTGTCAAATTCGAGGGTGTCATTTTATCTTTGTGTTGTTGTTAAGCCACAGTAATTGCTTCACTGTTCAAAATATTTATTTTCCTAATAGGTCACACAAAAGTTGGGAAGAGAAAGATGGATGTCAACTAGCCTATGTCCCAGTCTGGGCTGAGGAGGAGCAAAGAGCTGCCTAAAGAAACGAGTACCTGGGACAAACCGCAGAGGTCAAGATGGCCACTGGCCAATGGAACCGGCTGCCTGGGTCCACACCTACCAGCCACCCTCATGAGCACCACCGAGGTGCCGCAAGGACAGCAGAGCTGCCGGCCCCAAGCATTACAACTTCTGGAATGGAGAAGCAGGAGCTCACTCTTCAGACCTGGTGTTAATGATGCCTTTGTGCTCCTTTGTAGCCTCCCAGTTCGTGCCGTTGAATCCCTCAGCGACCACACTCCACTCAGTGCCCTCCTCCAGGCAGTGTGGGGCCATTCCAGAGCCTCCAGGGTATGAGTGGGGCGTGTAGAGGCTCTGGATGCCACCGCTCTGACAGAAGGTGATGAGAGAAAAACTCTCTGAAGACCTCATACACAGGGGAAGCCGTTTTAAATTTCTTTCTAAGATAGCATGACCATACATAAAATTTGCTCAAACCAAAAGCCTAGTGTATGGTGCACCACGAATACACTGTACATCTGCTTTGTAAATGAGTAGTCTAAAGGGAAACCAGCTTGTCCTTGAGGTATCGATGGATGCTCCTACTCCTGGCATTCCTTTGCGATAAAACTCCTTCCTGCCTGTATGCCAATCTATAGTCTTTTGAGCTCTTACAAGATATAAAAAAGTATATGACCCTGTAAAAACCGTTCCTTCTCCAGAACATTTTCTTCCCTGTGAAGAGCGTGTTTCCTGGCAGCCGGCCTAAGTTGGGCTCAAATAAAACTCTTTTTTTCTTACTTTTAGAGATTCTGACAGGTCTGTTCATTTGGCTGGACAGGTGTGCTAGGCTCTGTGTGCTTTGAATGTGTGTGTGCTTACGCTCTCGGCTTCCTTCAGGCTTCAAAAGCCTGAGCAAGGAAGTGTCTGTTCTGTGGCTTCTTTCAGATACTGCAGTTGCAACCAGAGAGGTGCAAGTCGGCCGAGGCTCAAACGTCCGCGTCCTACCCCGCAGCGGGCACCTCCTGCGTAGCTTCCCGGGCCCTGGTACTCCATGGTGTTCAGCAGCTCAGTGGCACCCTGACCCCTCCTGCAAAGTCTCCCACTGGTCTCCCGGGGAAGGGAGCAGCTGTGCGGGGCCACCTCCTGGGTCCAGTGACTGCTGCCTCTGCAGCTGCTTGTTCCTTGTTCCCAGCCCCCACCCCTCCACCTGCCCCCGGCTGGCCCATGGAGTCCTGTTTGTGGCCAGTGTGCAGGCCCCAGAGGCCCCAGCTGCTTCTGCCCATGTGGCTTGGTGGCCCTGCTGCTCCTCGCTGGCAGCATTAAATTAGGAGTCTCATTTTATCTTTAAAAGTCATGCAATTTGCATTCTACCCTATAATCTAGTTGGGCACTGGAAATGGAAAGTAAGAAAAGATTGGTTCCTCACCCTTTAGAAATCATAGTTAAAAATGAAATAGGGCGCCTGGGTGGCTCAGTAGGTTAAATGTCTGCCTTTGGCTCAGGTCATGATCCCAGGGCCCTGGGATTGAGCC